CCTGGGATCTAGCCCTGCATGAGACTCTGTGCTCAGCGGGGAGTCTGCTCAAGGAATCTCTCTCCCTCTCCCTCCCTCTCCTACTCACTCTTTCTCTCTCTCTCACACTCTCTCAAATAAAAATAAATCTTGAAATAAAGAACAGTACCACTTTCTTGGGGGGCGCCTTCCTGTTTCTCTAGTCTATCAATATGTATCACAAAAACTTTCATTTTCTCAACTAATCCCTACTTCCTGACCATAAGTGATAGTCCTAACTGACTTAGTATTTTGGGATTTGGGACTAAGAGAAAATCAGGATGAAGTATGGTCAATGGCGGAAAACTATAGGGTGAAATGTTCAGAAGTTGTGAAGGACCATGCTTATTGTCAGCTGGAGAAGTCCACAGTAAAAAGGAAAGACTAAGCTGGCTCAGTGAAAAATAGCAGAGACACGAGACAGACTGGATGCTGGTGGCAGTCATATATCTGCTCCATTGCTTTGCCTTTCCCAAGGACTGGGCGTTCACCTCTTCCTTGGATTCCATGAATATATCCCAGGGTCCTGCAAAATTCTTTCTGCTTAAGCTTGCCTTCTTTTTTAAACTTCTAATAGCTTATTATCATGCTACACATGGAAGACACAAAGATGAAAAAAATACAGTTCCTGACTTACAACACTCTTAAGAAGTGTTTCATAGGTCATGTGTGTGGACATAGATGATTACAACATTTTCAGCAGGGTTGAGTGGAACATGAGCCCCTACAGTGTGTATCTGACTCATCCAAATACCCCTTCCTTTGCCATTCATCCTCTGCAAGATCTTGATCTACTTTCTCCCTCCAGGCATTGGCATCTCTAAGAATCTGGCTGTAGTAATGCACGGTAATTGATGTAAGATCAGAGGTCTGCAAACATTTTCTGCAAGGGGCCATACAGTAAATACTTTGGCCTCATGGATCATATAGATTCTGTCACAACTATTCAGTCTGCTCTTATAGCACAAAAGCAGCCACGAGAATACTTACATGAATGATCATGCCTGTGTTCCAAGAAAAATTAATTTACAAAATCAGGTTAAGAGGCCAAACTTCATCCACAGGTCATAGTTCACCAACCCTAGCTCTGGGTATCTGGGGGCAAAGTGAAGTTAAGAAACACGATGTGGAATATTAATTGATTGACAGAAGTGTGCATCAGGTGCTGCAGAAACTCAGAGAAAACACCAAAGTACTCCAGGGGCACGAGGATAAAACATTTATGCAAGAGATGATACCTGCATGGAGTCTCTGAAAACAAAGGAATGTTAGAGAAAGAGGAGATGGGTAGGGAAAGCTGCATTTATAAATACGATGAGCTGTAAGAGACCCTGGCATTTGAAGGATTGCCAATAGTTCCCATTACTGGGGCAAGAAGTAAAAAAATTTAGGAGAGTATCAAAAATAAGGCAAAGCAGGAAAGCAAGGAGAATTTAAACAAACAAACAAAAACAAGGCATTAGGGAGCCATCGAAGAATTTTAGACAGAGCAGAATAGACATCATCCGATCTTTTTTTTTTTTTTTTTCTGTAATACTATTTCAGGACCACAAGAAGTAGGGGTAAGGATTTCAGGTAGAAAAACACTGCAATTGTTTGGAATAACAGTAGTTTAAAGGCCTAGATTTAGGCAATGAAGTCAATTTAAGCATTAGAATCAATAGGATTCAACATGGAGACAGGTTATATGTAGGACCAAGAGAAGAAGGAACAGATTACCCATAGGACAATTGGGCAGACAAAAGGGGGGAGGAGTCATCAATATTAAAATATTTAGGGCATCATTCAGTTCAGTATCAAACTGTTGAGTGTGAGATGCCTGTGGGACCTTTAAGTCGAGATGTAGGAGAGTGATCTGCTGGCCATGAAGGTAGATCAGTTTTTTACATACATCTGTCAGCTAGGTGCAATTATTATTCCCATTTCACAGATAAAGAAATACAAATAAAGGAAAGGTCAGGGAAAATGTTTTTTTAACAATAACTCCAGCTGGATTTCTTATTTCTTGCCCTGAATTACAGAATTAGGATTTAACAGAGCATAGGAGCAGATGACAAGTTCATTTACAAAGAGTATGTAGGATGAGAAAAGAGAAAGATTGAAGCTGAAACCCCAGAAACAAAGTCTTTAGGAAATAGGGACAGCAGTGTCCATGGTGGTTATGTCCCTGCCCTGGAGCCAGAATGCCTGACTTCAAATCCCAGCTCAGTTGCTTATTAGCAGTAGCATGATTTGAACAAGTCTGTTAGACACTTCTATTCCTGCTTCATCATCTGCAAAGGGTGAATAATAATAGCACCTACCTCCTAGGCTCCTACCAACCAAGTAAAAAGATGTATGTAAATATCTGACCATGCACCACAGTAAATTAGTAAATACTCAAGAAATATTTGCTATTTTTGTTATTATTACCTTGCAAAGGAAACAGAAAATAAGTGGTAAAACAGGAAAAGTGGAAGAAAGTGCCATCCTTGAGGCTAAGGAAGGAGAAACTCCAAAAGACAGGATATACACAGAGCATCAAATATTGTACAGAGGTCAAGGAAAAGGGGCCTCAAATAGATCTGTGGGTTTACCCACTTTAAGGTCATATGCAGAGTAGTGGAGGCGGCTGCCAGACTGTGGCTGGTTCAGGAAAGAGTGGGTGCTGGAGAAGCAGAGTCAGGAATAGCTAAGTATATTCTGAATGGTTTGTAGGTGTAGGGAGCAGAAAACGTCAACTATAGGAGTTGTAAATGGAATGTAATTTCTAATAAGTGTGGGTTGCTAAGGTAGGACAAATGGGTAGTTTTCCATGCTGAAGGGGAAAAGCAAGTAGTGAAGAAGAGGTTGAAGATACAAGGAACAGGAGAGAACTGCTAGATCAAGGTTCTGGAGGAGGAAGAGGTATATGATGAGATCCAGAGCTCAGGAGGGAATTGACCTGAAAGGGGAAGAGACACCTATTCCGCAGAAGCAGGTGTAGCCAAGATAAGGAATGGTTCCAGCTATAATTCTCATCTGATAACCTCAACATCATTGTGACGTAGCAAATATGGTACCTTGCTGAGAGAGAGCCAGGGGATAGAGCAATTGAATTTCCAGAAAAGTCTAAATATCTGTTGCAAAAATAGGAAAAGGACCAAACTCTCAATACATAAAAGACTATTCAGGTGTCACTGAGGGCCAAAGGTTGGAACCGTGAACTTAGAGTCGCATCAAGTCATGTGGTGGCATGATTTCCCTCAGCTGACCCAGTGGTCTAAGTGCAGGAGCGAGGAAACAGAGACTGGAGCTGATTCAGCATGTGCAACGTCCGAGGAAAGGGATTTAGGATACCAAGAAGAGAATGGCCATCCAGGCTGGACAGGATGGTTAGAAGAACAGGAAAACAGAGAAGGATTGTTAGTGGGGGAAGGTAGGCATGGATAGCACAAGGAAACTCAAATATACCAGAGAACAGATGAAGCGTTAAGAGATGCAATGAGAGGTTTGTGGTCAGAGGATGAAATTTTATATTTCTGAAAGACAAGGAATCAGATAGTCCTCTGGACATTGATGACTCGAATAATGGCCGGACTTAGGGAAGGAAGGAGAACAAGTTCTGGGCCTTAGTCTTCAATGAATCAATGAATGTGAAGAGAGGGTAAGAGGTCCGTGGTTGACAGGGCAGTGGAGCAGTGGGGAGTAGGGGTGGAGAGTGTGGAGGATTTGGATGGTATAGCCAAATGCCATGTTGTTTCCCTCCCCTCCCCCCAGCCCAAGAGAAATAGGGAACTAGATGGAGGACGATTTGGTAGCAGCAACATGCGGTATAGAGAAAGGTCACATTGTGCTACTTCCGGGTAAGATTTAAGAAAAATGTATTGGCGTTCCAGATAAGAGAACTTCCAGGTAAGTGGTCCCCCTGGGGAGACCAGGTTCCACTTACGACAGAGGGTAAGGAATGAACCCCGTAAAAAGCCTAACAGTAGGAGAGAGTTTGTTAGCATGGACAGGCAAGCTTCAAAGTTACAACGCAAAGGGTCGGAAAGGGTAGTGTGTGCAGAAGGGAAAAGGGAAAGGAATCAAAGCAGGACAGGGGTGCAGAGATGTGCCTAGAGGAGCAGTAATAACCCAAGGGCACAGCTGCCAAGGAAAGCTATGATGTGAACTCTGGCAGAGTTCACTGCCTTCAAATTTCCAAAAGAAACTTTAGAATAAACTTGTTTTGATGCTAGAAAACCATGGCATTTGCTCAGGGTTCCAAACAATGTTGGTAAAAAAAAAAAAAATATGACGCCTCCAAAATAATCTTTTTTTTTTTTTTTTCTGCGTGTGCCAGGGCAGGATTTTCTTTTACCAAAAATGTAGCTCTTGGTGGACGCTACAGTGACTCCAGTAACAAAGAAGGGGGTCCAGATCTCTCTTGGTGGCACCACCAGCTGCCTGAGCCGGTCAAGCAAGCTGTCCTACCTCCCATAGTCAGCCAGTTATTAAAGCTTGTATTTAAGCCCTTACCTGACCGAATCAAGGTCTATGCTTTTTGTACCAGTTTACCTCTCTATAAAGCAGACTATCAATAACCACTCAGCTATTTCTCAAGGTCATTATAGAGAGCAACTGAATTAATAGTCCCCAAAGCACTAAACTTTGCAAACAGAGATACACGGTACAAATATCAGGCATTACCGTTACCAAGTAATTTATTATGTGATAGTTTGAGACAAACACCAGAAACAAAATATGAAGTGCAGTAGAGTGGGGTAGAGAGGTAGAGCCAAGACCCATGGGGAGTGACTTGGCAAGGGTTCTTGGAGGAGGTAAGATTGGAGCTGGAGATTGGATGTGTTTCATTTTCCCCAAAGATTCCTCGCCTCTAGTTGCTCAGGCATACCCTTCCTCTCCCCATTTCAACTAAGCCTAGAAAATTCAGCGGTCAGCAGAGAACGAGAGGGAAGCCAGCAAGGCCTCACTCCGCTAACTGAAGCCGAATGTGGGATGGAACAGCGCAGCCCACCTACCTCACAGGCCATTGTCTTCCCTTGGCAGAAACACGCCTCACTGCTCCAGCTCGGCTCCTGGGGCCTGACCTCTTTTTCAAGCCTGTGGTCAGCCTGCTTATCGGGCCTGACCTCTTTCAGCTGGATGTTGTTTTTGACTTGGCTCCTTTCTTCTCAGCTGTTTCCATTTTAGGCCTCTGCTCCTGACTCTTGAAAGCAGAAGTAGCCAAGCCCCTTCCCTCTGCCCAGGCGAAGGTAAAGGGACTGTATTTGGGCTCATCAAACCTAAGTGGGACCAAAGATTGGTGTCCGCTTTTGGCTTTCTGGTGAAGGCCTTATTTGGAACAGCTGAGCCTCCTCTAGGAGTCTGGGGTTCAGGAGAACCGCATGTCAGCCTGAGGAGAAGAGAGATTTCAGCAGGAAGGAAACGGCAGAGGCCTTATTTTCCCAGAAAGGGGCTGAAAGCCCACTTCCTTTCCGCTTTGAGTGGTTGAACTACTGAGGAGCATTACGTCAAACGCCATTTACTCTCCAGCTTTATCGGGCTCTGAGGCCCAGCGTGTGGAGAGCTCGAAACGCGCCCGTCTTGCCAAATAAACAAAAACGCACAGAAACCCTTCCCTAAATGTCTGCGCCCCAGATTTGGGGGTGTGCCCCCACATCCAGGAGCAAGTGGCTTCCTGGAAGGCTAAAGGGGATGAAAAGATCAAGACTGATTCTCCCTATTGCTCGTTCTCACGCCCCTGCCTCGCCTGCCCCCCCCTTTCCCACCCACAACCCCTCCTACTCCCCAAGGGGTGCCATTTTGGAGCCAAAAGCCACTTTGTCAGCACAAGAGCAGTCCCGCCCTCTCTTGCTCCACACACCATGTGACCCTGGAGAACCTCCAGGGCATATTTCATCTGGCATCAGCAGCCAGAGGTCACGGTGACCCAAAACTTCCTGCATTCCCAGGCCTGGTAGCCCTGCCAAAGCCAGCCATGGCGGGGGAAGGAGAGCGCCGCTTGGGGGCGGGGGGGAGCTGACCGAGTGTGGTGTTGGCCGCCCTGCCTGCCAGCAGACAGCGGCACTGGTTTTCCACTGCCGGCCCTTCATTGCACTTGGCCGGCTTTGTTCCTTCCCTGGGACCAAGTCAACAAGCTGAGACCAGAGGAGCTGCGGCTCTGCATGCAGAACGAAGCCCTTTCCGTTTGCCTGCACACCGCGCGCAGGCGCTCGGCTCCGCGGCCCCCCGGACTCTGATTTCCCACCTGTCCTACCTGCTGGGCACTACATGCAGTGTGACAAGGGTTCAAGACTCCCAGCGACGGCTCCTCCTTCCCACCCCCTCTCTATGTAGGAGAGAACAGATCATTAGAGAGGCCGGAGACTTCATACTGAATTTTGCTCGGGGTCAAAAAAGACAATAAAGGTGAACCTCTAGAGCCAGAAAACAATTTTAGTATCAGTGTCCAGGGTCCCCTTCCGTGCAAGAATTATAAAGTTTTAGGGTTAGAAAAGATCATAAACCATCCATGTAAGTGGGTCTTCACACAATTTGGTAAAGACACCTTTGAGTAACTGATGACAACAAGCCACGCCCTGCCCTAGGCAAAAACCTGCAGACACTGGAGAGTTGGCTAACAATTTGGGGAGTGCAGGGACTCCAGGAGCCCCAGTGCAGCGACCTACTGGACCATTCCTTCCCCTGCCAGCCCTCTCGTTTTGCAGAAGGGGAACTGTGAGACCCAGAGAAGACAGTGACTCTTGCAAAGTCAAGGCTAGATGTGGTCCTGCTGAACCCGGATCCCTTGATTCCGAGGGAATCATCAGGGCCCTCACCTCCGGACCCCCTTCCCATTGTCTTCTTGGCTTTGCTCTTAGCATCTTTCTCTTCCTTTATTCCCTTCCTGCTTTCTCTCCTCAGGTCTTCTCTGTTTCTTTTGCCTATTCTTTTACTTCGAGTTTTATTTCCTTTTGTGCTTTCCTTCCTTCTACACTCTTGTCTTCTCCATCTCTGCCTTGTGTCTCGGGACCCAGTCAATTCGCCAGTGTCAGTTGTCTGGTCCTCTGGATAAGTCACCGGCTCCTGTGGGAGGATGGCATGTGTACATCAAGGAAAGAATGAAACTGTTGAAAGTAGTGGTATCAAGGAGAAAAATTTCATCTCTCTCCCCAAATCTTCAGTATAGATCTAGTGGGAATGGGTCTTCTTTTCACCCTTAGTGAAGACAAATAACATTAAAGGAGAGGAATACAGAAGCCAGTAGATTAGCGGTACTCATGGTATGGTTGAGGAGCCTCAGGGGATCCCTGAGACCTTTTCAAGGGGTCTACAAAGTCAAAATTGTATTCACCATAATGTTAAGATGTTATTTGTCATTTTTACTGTGTTAACATTTGAACCGATGGTGCAAACACCACAAGGGGTAAAACTGGGGCAAGGGTGGGGCTAGCATGTATCCAGGCATTGAAACCGAATTGGACTCCCAGTCATTGTAATCTTCACAGCCACGAACAACAGTTGTTTTAAAAAGTAAATTTTACTTAAGAATACTCATAAAGGAGCAGTTAAAAATATTTATTTGATTAAATTTAGATTAAATTTTATTGAACTGAAAATAAGTCTCGAGTACACTTTCTTTTTTTTTTTTTTCTATTCCCCGGCAGGGTGAGAAACGTGCATAAAGTACTTCTGCCACATACTAAAGTAGACTAGTTGTCTCAAGGAAAAGTAGTTACGCAATTGAGATGTAAGCTTTACCTATCATTTTTTTCCAGTTTTACCTGGAAGAACGACTGACACTGTGGTTGTCTAAACCTGTGTATTTGGCAGACATTTTCCTAATAATAAACAAAGTGAGCCTGTCATTTCCAGTGCGAAATAGACAGCACCTTTTGCCAAAGATAAATCTGAGCTTTCAGTCAAAAATTAAAAATGCTCGAAATGTGTATCTACCACCATGAACTGAACTGTTTCCCCATACTTAAAACTTTCCTGGTTAGATCAGTGGTGATACTGACAAATGTGATTATTTGAATTTTAGAATGAAATACGTCAACATTTGAAAGACTGGTGTAAGTCAGTGAACAGGTATTTTCCAAATGACCAATGCATGGTGTTATAAAACCATGCCTGCCTGGGAAAACAGCCACTGAAAATGCAAGATAGACTAATGGATTTTAACAAAACTGAATACAAAATGTTCATTAACAGTTGCCAAGTTCCACAAGGCAACTAAACTCTAAGAAACAACCATATCTTGAGTTTTGATGTAGTAGCAAAGAAAAATGTCTGCAATTATCTGAAAACACTAGTAAAATATCCCACTCTTTTCCAACTCTATATCTGTACAAAGCAGGATTTCTTTCATCTACTTCAATTAAACAACGTATTGTTGCAAATTTAATAGAAGATAAGAAAATCTACCAGTCTCCAATTAAATCATACTTTAAAGAGATTTTAAAAAATGTACGACACCAGTTTTTTTTTTCTTTTGGAAAATATGGGGATTTGTGAATTCTTAACAATTTCTGAGTTTTAATTTCTAACACATATCTATGAATAAATATAACCTACACAAGCGCAAACTCTTTGGAGTGGAATGGAGTCCTGAGGCCAAAATATTTGAGCACCACTCCTGTAGACTATTCTAGAAGGAAGCAGAGATAAATCTGTGCAACACTTGTTAACTGGGCATCTAGTATGGCTAAGGTTCATGCTAAGTACTACAGGGGATCCAGCTCCTACAGCCCTCAAGGTGTAGCAGGAAGATAAGGCATGGAGATCAATAGCGGCAAACTGAGTCCAGGAGTGCCACCAGGGAGAAGGAACGAAATGCCTCCAAAGCTCCACTCAGGGTGGAGGTAAGCCAACCTAGAAAAGTCTTTACAGAGGCGATAACAGTTGAGAAGCCTGAACAAAAACTGAGCATTCAGAAAACAAAACAATAAAAGCAGAGGGGCTGGGGAGTGTTGCTGTGGGCCAAGCAGAAGGAAGAGCATGGGGGTAGGAGAGCAGAGAGTACATTGAGTAGAGCAAGCATTCCATTAGACACAACTGAGAGGCAGGACTCAAAGACTCCTATAGAGTTGAGGTTTAATAAATGCGTGCCAGATGAACCTATGTATGAAAACAGTGATTGCCTAGGCCATGGATGCGTTTAGCTGTGTCTTATCACCCCTACTTCCCACAGTATATGTGAGAAAATTGTGTGAAGAAAGTTGATAGAGGCCAAAGAAGTGAGAAGATTCATATAAAGTGCAAATTAGAGACAGAGCGGGCCCTGACCTGGCTTCAAGGTTTCCTTTGCCAGACAATTCCTTCTTAAGTCAGGCCCTAGCTGATGTTCCTCTGTCCCAACTCTGGCGTGACACTGAGTGAATAAGGGTGAGACTGACACAAGCCTTGAGATTTATCACTGGAAGAACGTCTGCTGAACACCACTCCCTGATCAGAACAAGAGGGATTCGGAGAGGAAAAAGATGCTGGTCTTGTCTTCACAGTCTCTTGAACAAAGCCTTCAGGGGAGAGAGACCCATCTGACCATGACTGAGAGGGTATAGTGCTACTCTAAGTACAGAGCACAGACAAGACCTCCATCCGAAGGATGGTGAAGCTTTCAAGAGGGGATGGAAGGGAAGGGAGTGATTCAGGGGACTTTTAAAGGCTAAAGACTGATTAGATACCTAGCACTCCTTGCTGCATTCAAAGGCTCCTGAAGGTCTGTGAGTCTGCTGTCTTTGCCTCTGGATCCCCAACACCAAACACAGTACCTGTCCCAGCAAAGACATCCCATAAGTGTCCGATGTACTACTCCGAATGCAAGGGTAAAGAAGAGACATGATGCCAAGACTCAACTTTTTTCCACCTTTTTCCATCTTTCCATTAAGACATTATTGATATATCACATAGAGAAATTTAAGGTGTATGACATGATGATCTGATACACATATACGTTGCAAAATAATCATCCCAAAAAGGTTAGTTAACACTTCTATCCCCTCACATAATTACCATTCTGTGTGTGTGATGATAACTTTAAGATTTACTCTAACAACTTTCAAATATATAATACAGTATTGTTAAGTACAGTCACCATGCCATACACTAGATCCCCAGAACTTATTCCTCTTATAGCTGAAAGTTTATACCCTTTGACCAACATCTCTACATTTCCCCCCACCCTTTTGCCCCTGGCAATCACAATTCTATTCTCTATTTCTTTGTGTTCTACTTTTTTAGATTCTGCATACAAGGAGAACATAGAGTATTTGTCTTTTTTCTGTCTGTTTTGCTTAGCATAAGGCCCTCAGCATCCATCCACGTTGTCACAAATGGCAAGATTTCCTTCTTTTTTATGGATGAATAATTTTCCATTATAAATACATACCATATTTTCTTTATCCATTTACACATTTATAGACACTTAGGTTGTCTCCAAGTCTTGGCTATTTGTGAAT